ATATACTGCTTACAACATCACTGTTGTGCTTCTCTCCAAATACTTTCCTAATAGTAGTTCAGGAAACATTTCCCAAATTACATAGTTCCTTAGCTAAAATGGAATTAGCCAAATATACAATCAAATCAACTACACACCAGGAATTTCTTTTCAAGTTTCTAAGACAGTCTTGTTTCTAAGCACACACAATAAAGCAATTCAAGTAATGCCATAGAGATTTCCTAGAGCCAATAAATGAAATTCTAAAATTTTACAGTAGTATAATATATTGGAGACTCCATCCTTCATTCTTTCCCAAAACTAATCCCAACCTAACTCACACATTCCTTAAATGGCTCAATACCCACTATGCAAAAAGTCCTATGTTCAGAACTAGGGGCATAAAACCTCTGTACTCAAGAGATAAAGACTCATATTAAAGATAAAAGGGCAAAGTTTTATTATCTATATTTGCCTGTGCTTCTGGTTTGATAAATAATGAGTCAATGGCACATGACCTACGGAGCTCATTTTCTCTTGGATGGACACCAATGAACTTACTTCCTATCCTTGGGCTGTGTAAAACATACAGCTGGAAATGAGATATCATTGTCCTATGGCTTACTCCCAAAAGTTCTCAATGGCTCAACTCACCTAAGTCTTCCTCCTTTAACTTTCTTCCTCCACATCATGACTTTTGCAAAAATTTATGATGATTTTTAATGAGTAAAATGATCTGGAAAACATATTTTTTCAGTTTTTATTTCAATAAAACAAGAGGCAACACTGCTGTATAAAGTACTGCATAAGGACATTTACACAAATATACAAAACTTCAAAAAACTAAACTCCAGTTTATTTCCATAGCCTTAAAAATGTAGGGAGCACATAAAAATATGCAAAGTCATAGTTTATTCTTTAGGAATGTAAACTCCTGGAATACAATTAGAAACAAGTATATTTACTATGAAAAGATTAGTATCACTACAGGATTAGAAATAAAGATAAGCAGTACACAAAAAACCCTACATAAGAGAAAGCAAAGGTATGCAAAATAAGATCTTGAGTTTACTAAAAGAAACTTCATATTAAGACACAGGTACTCTAGATCTCTACTATAAAAGAACACAAAAACATCTTCCAAAATGTTCACTGCTAGTCTTTTTAGATATGCACAAGTTACAAAATACAGAGGATAACATATTTATGTTCTCTGGTAAAGAATTTAACAATATTAAACATAAATGTGAATAACTCAAGTACTGAGTATAATTTTACTAAGCAACTAATCTAAAAATATAAATTTCATGCTAAGTAAAGGACTAGAGAGTTTATATTTTTTATCCAAAGACTGGGAAGACACTATTATACATTTATTTCTATCTACAATGCTTAAGTGCCCATCAAATTATTCTTCTTTTTAATGGCTTTTTAAGAAACATTTTTTGTTACATTATTTATGATATAGATTTCCTTGATGTGCTTCCCTTTAACAAAGTGTAAATTTATTGTGCCTATAGAGTCAAATGTTAAACAGTCTTATTTTAAATATCTATTTAAAATTATGTCTCAGGGTACAATTTTTTTTCTCTATAATTTAAATGTAAAGGTTTTAACATTGTAATTTGAGTCTTCCAAAATAGGCAAAATCCCTTAAAGCTGGTATCATTTTTATCTATTTTGGTTTAAAAAACATATTTCCCTTTAATTTTTTGTTTTGTTTACTAAGCAGTTGCTTCATAATTGAAAAAGGCAACAAAATACTGCTTTTTCAAAACAAACTTTGTCATCATTTAAGGACTGAGAATTTCTACCCTTCAAATCTACAGAGCTGCCTCAAAAAGTTCCATGGTGGAGTACAAGGGGTTCCAGGGTGCTCACCTGTCCTAGGTCCCCTGGGGACACTCCCTTGAACTTGATTCCAAAGGCAAGTCCCTACTCAATTCCAAAGGCAAATGCTGGGACCTACCTTCACTAGAATACCCCAGGTAGTTGAGTACTTGAAGAGTGAGAGGTTGGGTAATTTTAAGACTCCCTAATGGCTTAAAATGTGGAATGGAACTATAATTTTTGTTCAGATCCTTTGAACTATGGGGTGCAATTTCCCATTTGGGGCAGAATCCTTTTTGTGATAAAGATATAGAGGAGATCTGTGACCAAATGGTTACATGAGCATCTTTGTGAAAAAATGACCTAAAAAAGTCACCCCAACTTTAAAATCTGGAAAGCTGAGTAAGAGGGATAATTGTAATTGTTACCATAGTTAGCATTTATCCAATATTTATACTTGCTATAAAAATTTTCAAATGTATAACCCTTATTTGAAATAGTATCAAAGGTGCTATAAAATAATTTTACTGTCAACATAACTTCCAGGAAATCAACTCGTGCAAATTACTTGAAACAAAAATTCAGAACCACTCCACTAAGTAAGCCTTCAGAGTTCTTTAAAGAATATACACATGAAGATTTGTTGTGCATTGTATAAAACGGTGGTACCTCTTTCATACTTAAAATGGTAGGCATCTACAGCTCTGATTCCATTTATAGTTAATATGAAAAATATAAAATGTTATAATTTTATTGTAAAAATAAATGAAAATCATTAAAAATTTAGAAGTAAGGATCTAATAAGTGTCATAGACACTATTAAAAATTTATAAGCTATTAAAAACAATGAAGATTACAATATTTAGTATCTAACATATTTGATCTAGTGTTGTGAGACCACTGAAAATTCCAAATATTAGGTAGGTAATTTGTACTTTTGATACTCTCTTTTTAAACTTTAATGCACATAAAAATCACTTAAGGATCTTGTTAAAAGGCAGATTATGATTCAGTAGATTAAAAGTGGCTCTGAAATTCTACATCTTTAACAAGATGCCTAGTGATGCCAATGCTACTTACTGGTCCTCAGACTGTAGGAGTAGCAATGATCTAGAATAATACCAAAATGAGGTTCCATTACAGCAGTTGATCATTAAAATCTAATCTCTCATTTCTGCCAGCTGTTTCCTCAGATTTATTCTACAATGTTTCCTAAGCACTTGACTTGCTTAAAAGGCCAATCTTCTAAAATTAATTCTTTAAGACTATTAATATTGTTAGTAGCTATATGCCTGAGGGAATTTTTTTGTTAAAGAATTAGAAAAAGACAAAAGGAAATTCACAGTGACATTTTACAAATATTTTAAATTGTACACAGGATTCCTGTTAAATTAATACAATATCAAGTTTCACGGTCTAGTCTTACCTTTTTTTTTTTCTTTTTTTTTTTTTTAAACTACAGTTTATGGCAATAGATCTTATTCCATTTCTATTAGTGGAACTAAAAAACTCAAATTCACTTCTAATAAAAGCCATATTCTATTCAAGATTAATGAATGAAAACTAGTTCATGCTTTTTGAAGATTTAAATTTAAAATGGTAGCCAAAGCAGTTATGATCAAAACTGCATTCATAGCGTATGCTTTAGCACTCTTTAGGACATATAAATTTTTCACATTTGAGCTCTGCATAAGCAGGCACAAAAGGAAAACTAACATTTTCTGTGCAACTACAGCTAGGGACTGTGAATAAGGAAACCACTGTGCATTAATAGTGAAGGAGACAAAGAGGGGACAGACAGGCCTTCCCTCCCAGTCAATTTACCCTTATCCTCAGCCCTGCTTTCTTTCTCTCCCTCTGAATTATTAGTTACATACACTTGATTTACAGGGAGCCTTGACCACAGCTAAAAGGACGAGCACTAGCAAATACTACATTTTACATCTATCTAGAGGTCACACAGTTCTCTACAGCTACATACAAGTTTGTTTTGCTTCTGCCATATTGCCTTTTTTATTTTTATTTTTTGGTTGGGGGCAACTACATTGATTATTCTTTCTACCATGACAAGAACATTTAAACTAGGCCCGTTCACAAACAAATTATTTAACTTCTTTCATATTTTACAATTCTAAATTTAAGAGCACAAACATAAATAAACCTAAATTAATTACATAAATGTCCTTTGTCCATATTTCATTATGCTTTCTTTCATGACATTTTATAGATGAAAAATTTACCTAATTTCCTTCATTTGCTGACAAACAATTCAATATTATATGGTTGACGCCGGTGTCTTGAGAGCTGTGTTGCACGATTTACGATGATTTCCAGGAAGACTTCAATGATGTGTACTTTGAATTCTAGGAAACCAAACTACCTAGGATTTCCAAAGTCAAGCAGCAGGGTAAGTCAGCTTCATGGCTGATTACATTTTAGGAATTGAAAGGGATTTTCACCTGCTAAATCTGGATCAAATACTTCAAAACAACACATCTACTGGCAATCTGATTTTTTATATAAAAATGTTCCAAAGATAACAACAGAAATCCCTCTACCCTTCCCCTGGAATTACATAATAGTCTAGGTACTGAGTTACGAGGCTTTTTCCAGTGCTTTATATAAATGATTCCACTAATCTTAAGGACAATCTGATTACAAACATTTTTATCAGGAACTTTTCATACACATCATTTTTGTTTTTTTAACATGCCTGATTTTCAGACTGCCCTGTTGTGCAGTCAGCTACAGAATTCCTGGAGTTGCACCCTCTGCCTCCTTTCAAAAACAGCTCCCATGCATGAGATTCCCTTTTACGCTGAAGGCCAAACATACAGCTACCAAAATAGGAGTTATTAAAAAATAAGAACTCACAACCTCACGAGATGTCCCCAATTTGATCAGACAACTTGCCAAAATGTATTGTGACACTGACCATCTTAGACCATAGAAACAAATAAAGAAAAAAAAAGACTCAAATCAAGGGGGGAAAATACACCCAAGAAATAACAGAACCACGTTTGACCTTATTACAACCTACACGTTATTCCCTTCATAAGGTCAAGGTAGCCTTTAGAATTTAAGACACAAGGGCTCCTGCCTGGGACAGGGATGAAAGATGCTGGGTGCTTTCATAAAGAAGCAGAGTCGTATTTCTAGATTCACTAGTTAGGTGGGAAAACTATTACAAATTAATCTGTAGACAAGGTAATGCTGATACTAGGAGGTCTCTGCTGACCTGATGGATGCTTCACTGGAAGTTCAGTCCTTTCAGAAACGTAAATAAGCTTTTCTTCTTGGAGACTACAAGCAGAAAACCTATTGGCATCTGTCCCAGGCCCACAGCCAACAGCAGATGATGGGTTATGTGCGACTGTGACACCACTGACTTGTTCAAAGGATTTACTGAATACAGTTGCAGCTGTCTTAGCCAAACCATGGCTACAAGGTTTAGGCAGAGATTGGCTGGTAGTTAATGTCAGTCTCTTCAAAGAGAGAAGCTCAAGATTCTCACTTTGGGCTCTCTGAGTTTGTTTTCGGGCAAAGTGGTCTTTGCAAGACTCCCCTGTGGTTTCTTTTTCTTTTCCTCCAGTTTTGCTTCCTCCTGACCGTCTCTGAGTCTTTCCTACACTTGTCTTGTTACTAGAATTGTTACTACTGTTTGATAAACCTGATTGGCTAGTACTAGACGCAGCCCGGGAATAAAATCCCTCGTCAACTTCAGATATCTCCATGAGTTCTTCTTGACCTGTTAATTCTGTATTTCCTAAACAAAGAAATAATAAAGATTAATTAATATTAAGTATCTTAAATAATTCTTATTTCATGATTAATACCAAATCAATGATACTTTAAACTTTAGCATAATTACATAAAACAACCCATTATAGACCGAAATTAAAGGATAAATTGAAACATTGTATAAAATGTAAAAAATAGTTCATTGTAACTAAATAAGAGTAATTTAGAGTGTATTAAACAAAAAGCATGCCATAACACCCCCCACCCCCCATGTTTTAAGAAAGATTTCTCTTCCAGTTCATGCAAAAGATCAGAAACAATTAAGGAAAATATCACACAGTAAAACTAGGGGTAAAGTCTCCCCAAGTAGCAAAGCAATATAAAATCGAAGCTCTTACCAAGGAACTTTAAAAAAATGGTATTAAGATATTTTAAAGATTTTTTTAAAGGTTGCATTCTACATTCTAGATTATTTTACAAAGATGAAAAAAAATAGACCCTAAGTATCACAAGTTCAAACTTGTTAAAATTCTATATACATTATCCTTCAAATCAAAGATGTTAAAAATATAAAGATAAAATATAATTTTAGATCTCAAAATATAAGCAGAAAATTACTGTGGAAGTAATCTTCTGCCTTAGTTTTTATAACAGTTTATTCAGAGAAAATATAGGTACGACCATTCCAAAGAGCATTAGATCATTGAGAAATTGTGGTGCATAATTCATGCATTTTGATTATTAGATGACATGCAAAATTTCTGTGACTGTGCAACTGTTGCTTAAGACATGCAGCAGTGGCCCTGTGCCATGAGATACCTTGGAGGGCAGCTAGAAAGTGCTCTGCTAAAACTGCACTCTGCCAGGTGAGTTTATTCCATCCTCCATCATTTTTCTTACAGATTTTTGCCTCCTGATCTCTGGCAAGCCTTTGCTCTCAGTTCTAGGATCTGTGGCTGTTTCCTGCACACCCTGTATATGCTGAGCATCAATCTCTCCTAGTGTTCTGCCTTTTTCCCCATTCCCGGTTCTCTCTCCGGCCACATTTGTGACACTAATCTCAGGAATGACAAGGATGCCCAATTCACTGGTATCATTACTGTTGTCAGGTTGCTCTAGAATTGAAGATGATAAGACAAAATGATGGCTGAAAACAAAACAAACTAAAAATGCAAAACAAGAAAAACAAAAGATCCAAAACAAAAATTGGACAACTGAATGTTATGAATTAAGCCAAATATCTGCACTGTGGAAATTTCCATAATTTTCGTTACTTTGACAGCACTGGAAACAGCAGGGTCATGTTCTTTAATTTTAAATGACAATGAAAAAACTCACAGAGCATCAACTCATGTTCTGCATTTTTTCACACACACATTTGACACGGACCATGAAACAGAAATTTTTTTGTAAATCAAAATAGAATTTCTATTGTTTAAAGATAGTATTGTAACCACTGGAACTTAGGTCAAGCCCTGGGCAAATGTTCCAGGATGTACAGCCAAAACTCTGGCTCTTGTCAACATTAGGAACCAAGACACCTAGGAATTCCCCTTGTACATTTAAAATTCTATTTTTTTAATTAAATTACAATGAGGCTGACTTAATAAACTACAAAATTGGGAAAATGATTATTCACTCAAAATATCAAGGTTACTAATGCTGCAAGTCAGTTTTTATCTCACACACCAATCATTGTGTGTATTAGTAAATATTAATGCAGCTATAATACAATTAAATATTCTATTCCTTCAGATTTGTACTCATACCATAAATTTAGGCCAGCCTGTAACAGTTCATTACTAAGCTGGAGAAAAATAAAAATGGATTGGAAAAACAACTTGGCTGTTGGTCCTTTATTCTGAAAATAGCCATTGTAATCAAAACAAAGGAATGGAACTCCTAACCAGCTAAAACTTGTAAACATTTTATTCTGTGTCTTAAATCACAAAGCATGGCTTTATTTAAAGTTGCCAAGGAAATACCTGTAATAAATGGAAAAAAATAACATAAATATATCTACCATGGGTCATAATGAAAATTAAAGTTCAAAACAACACAAGACTATGTAAAACAGTACATGCTCTTAAAAAAACGTGGAACACAAATCTGTTTGAGAGATACTACCTACTACTTTCAAATGTTCCTCATGATAGGATTATCAAGCTCCCATTCATGGTGCTAAAGCATGTGAAACAATAATAGGTAGTAAAAGAATGGAGGCCAGAGCCACATACTCTTAAGGGTCTCAAACTTTGCTACACACTGGTATCACCTGGGAGTCTTTAAGAACTACTCCTACCAGGCTCTCAAGCTAGACATTTTGATTTAATTAGTATGAGGTATGACCTAGACATTGGGATTTTTAAAAGGTCCTAGTGACTAGTGTGCAGCAAAGTTTGAGAACCAATGCTCTATTCTAACAAATTCTTTCAAATTTTGAAAACTTAAAGCAAAAGTTATTATGAATGTCCTAGGTACTTCATACCCAGCAGCAATACGCAGTTCAGGAGGTCCTTGAAGCTTCATGTTACCCTGGGCTGGAGGGCCAATGTGCTGGTATAATAATTTCCCATTTACTTAGAGCTTCACAAACCTCTAACTAGAGGTTCTCTAAATGAAATGTTTATTTCCTAAACAGGCCAAAGCATGTTAGTGAGGTAGTTTTACCTCCATGAGATTAAAAAATTCCAACAGGGCCTATTTCCCCTGGCTAATAGCTATCTTCAAAGTAAAGGCAAGTAAAAATCTGAGGTAAATGCCAGAAGCCACTGCAACTGAGAGTAAAATCATCATGGCGCTGTTGGGTGACAGGCAAGACCTGTCCATTTATGTTATAGAAGGTTTTTCACAAAAGATCTATTAAAGGGACTATCTAGTCCAAAAAAAATTGTGAACTGTAGAAATATCCAGACATAGCAAAGCCAATGAATACTAAAATTTAACAAATTTTAAAAGATATTCATTGGTGGCCTAATAGAATAAAAAACAACACAACTTACATTTGAACGGCAGTAAACAGCTTTTTTTAGAGTATTTGGGTATATTATTCAATTATATTCTCTCCCATTTACAGACAAGGAAACTGAAGTTCAGAAAGAGTTAACTATTCAGCGGGTGAGTTAACAGCAAAATCTTTTGACTCCAAATGTCAATTCTAACATACTATAGTCTAACTCTAACATATTATAGTCTAACTCTTCAATTCATTCAAAATCAATTTGAGTTAAATTCTCAGGAAAGTTACAGAATAAAGATAACTACATAACTCCAACATTTGCTACATGATTTTGCTCTCTGTTTTTTCTCCAGTTTCTTCCCCCACATGTGACCCAATCCCCCTGCACACGCTTTCTTACCAGTCTTGCTATTCCCTAGACCTGGAATGCTCTCCCCCACATAGCTACTTCCATGGCTCATCTCCTTACTTATTTCAGGTCTTTTCTCAAAAATCTCCTTCTCAGTGAAACCTTCCCTGATCATCCCATCAAGTTTCAATGTCCCCCATATTTCATACACTCTCTTCTCTACTTTGTTTATTCTCAGCACTGAATCACTCTCTAATACAATTATTTATTTATCATGTCCCACGAGGGCAGGGACTTTCTTCTGGTCACTCCTGCATACCTTGTACCTGAGAAAGTAGCTTGCATATAGTTGGTGCCCAATTAACATTTGCTTGATAAATTAAATGAATGTCCTGTTACATGGTGATATTATTAAAAACAAAAAAGGTGAAAAATCATGGAGAAGACATGACAAAGATAAACTAGGAAAGTGTTACCTGACTACATAAAAAGAAAAAAATAATATACAGCTTATGCTAATAAGAATTTTTAGATGGCAGAGAAAAGCAAAGTCTCTTTTGGAAAAGTGAAGTAGCTGCTTCTAAATGCAGGTTTAGTAAAATGCTTAATAATGTCCAAAATATACATTTTTTAAATTTACAGTTCATAATAAATTATATTATGCTGTAGATAAAATAGCAAAGGAGAAGAAGTTAATCTTTCTTTAAGAAAATTAGAGAAGAGATGTTTTAAGGGAATAAAGGTATTAGAAAATAGAACATAATGTTTGAAAGCCCAGAATCTAATGTTAAATCTATGCAAAAAGGGGCATGGTTGTTCTATGCCTATAAAAAACAATACTTACATTTGACTTCAAATAATTCGAAAAGTTCAAAAAAGATCCAAAGAGAAACGTCTCAAAGAATAGTTTATTTGTATAACCTCTACAAACAGGTAAACTTCTCTCCACATACAGAAATAAGGAGAGTTAAAGAATACTTTAAAAGACATTTCCAAATTGGTTCTCAAAGGCACTCAAATCATTTTTCCCTATAAAATTTCTTCCAGTTTTGAGAAAAAAAAAAGGTAAAACAAATTGCAAATATCATTAAAACTGATCACGAAAAATTGTGATTTCCCTCATATGTAATCTTATCCCAAATATCTATCCCATTACATCACTCATGAAGCTCCTTATCCTAGCTATAGCTTTTTTTTTTTTTATGGCTTCCCTATTTACTAAAAGTGACAACTTAAATAAAGGAATATCATTTATCCATAGACTCTACACAGCTTTGTACTAAGACTACTTTGTAAGTCAAAAGGAATCTGGTTATGACCCAAGGCACTTACAGTATTTTATAAATATGTGTGAAAATAATAAAATAAGCCAAAGCTTTAAAAATTAACCTATCCTTTAAACATCTGCATCATGCCATTTTGACATTATGAAAAGTATTTTTGAGTAAGCTCTAAAATAAAGTGATATACATTCCTTTGCAATTTATAAGATATAAATATTTTAAATGTCATAATATATTTGAACAGCTTCATACCTTTTAATCCAGTCAGCTTATGTTTATAATTTATCCTATTCAGTAGAAGAAAAATGCTATCTATAGTCATTAAGCTATTCATTGCAGTGTTATCTATAATAGCAAAAAGTTAGAAACAAATTATTTAACATGTTAAGGAAATGGTTGAATAAATGATGGAATATCAAGTCAATGTAGTATTA